TGAAAACCACCCAAACATCAATATTTAGAAATGCTCAGGTTTTGAAAAAAAGTAATCTTTCTCATGAAAGCACAGCTAACCAAAAGATGTCCTGATCATTCTAGTGAAATATCTTTTTAAAAATCAAAATTAGCTGAATAAGAGCTAGATATATTTTTTGTCCCTCTTCTCTCTGAAAGTTGTAGCACATCTAATATCTTTAAAAATAAGGAAAGAAAGAAACCTTATCTATATGCCAAAATCCTCTTAGCATGTACTGAATGGCTTCCTATGTCTTTCAGGTGATCCAATTAGCAATTTTTATTTCTCCAGTTGCCAGAACTAATCTGACAATCCTCAAACTACAGTTAGGCATTGCTGGTAGAAAAATAACTGTTGAAAATCTGGCAACAAAGAAGAGGCAATTTAATATACAAATAGAACATGTAGGAGAGTGTACATTGAGCTGTAATAATGCACTTAAATAATCCCCAACTTGTGTGTCGATGAGACTGTGGCATTCTGTGCCAGTGCATTGCTGCTGCTGGGGGCCTGGCTATGGGAATGAATTATGCAGTCTGATCCCAGAGACATGCTGGCTTCATAGTCTTTCTTCCTTCAGCGTTATATTTCAGGTAAGCTTTAGCCTTTTCTAGCTGAGAAAGATGATTTCTCATAGAGCAGATAGCAGCTAATAACACTAACACACCTATAAAATACCCCATGTTTATGACCACTTCTATGACTGCACAAACCAACTGCCCCAGGGCTCCGTTTTGCATTGTGGAGGGGAGTGGTGATGCTGCCTGTTCCCCCTGCACCCCTCTGCAGTGTCTGCTTGTGTGCTTGGAGGTTGTGCAGTAGCAGAGCAGCATTGCCTCAGATTGTGGGATCCCACCCAAAATCAGGGCAGAGAACTTACCCAGTACAAAACCAGACCTGAAGCAACCTTATTGGAAGTGCGTGGGAGTCTGTAGCCAGTGCTGCCCTTTGCTGTCATGTCAGACCATGCTGATACTACTTCTTGTCACTGATATTCACAGAAAGTATGACTGTAAGCCATTCTTAAAGCTTAAGCAAATATTAAATGCTCAGAATACATTTCCATGTATGTTGATAATAACTTTGGTGCAGGATATGTTCTTTGCTCACCCCTCATCTTGTCTTTCCTTGCCAAATCATTCCCCATGATCCCTTCCAGCTTTATTTATTGTACATTTGAGGAGCCCCTGATCTGTGGGGCAGCACAATGGTACTAACAGGGGCAGAGTGGGGCAAGAGCGAGTGCCTGGAGATACGGGAGTAACTCTATGGTACTCCCCAAGGTGTAAAAACACTCTCTTGGGCTCTGTAGTCAAGTCTTCTTTTGAATATCCCTTGAGAACTAGACGACTGTTGTGCCAAAATGCAGATTTTCAAGTCTTTACCTTAGAAAAGTGTCTTGCTGATGTGATGTGTAGGAGAGATAGGTAACTCATTTCTGCTTGGTCACTGATATGATGCTTTCAAATTGAGGTTGTTTGAACACTAAAAAACATTAAATAGAATAAAAACTGACTTGAGCTTTCTGGTTACCCCCAGGCCATTATAATCCTCTCTAATTAAACTGTCTGTTGCAAAAATGGATGAAAGTAAAGCTCTTCTTTATTAATCTTTTCTAAATCTCTATCTGGAAATACATGTCTCTTTTTCCTCTTCTTTTTTTTTTTTTTTCCTTCCTTTTCCCTTAAATCCACTCTATCAATTTGGAGACTTCCGTATCAGTGTTTAACTGAAATAACCTGAGAAATGATTGATCATTAAGGAAAGATGGCAACAATCACCCTAGGACAAATCATGAGGTTATTCATCAGTTTCTGTGGAGTCAGAATCGGTCTATCGATATAGACAGTCTGAAACACCCCAACAAAAATATAATGAAATATAAAGCAGCCTTTTTTTTTTTTTTTTTTTTTTAACATTTAGGTAAAATTAATTTCAGAGCACTTCTGTAGGTTGAAAAGACGAGTGCACTAGCCTTTAGCCTTTTTTTTTTGCCTGAATTTTGGAGAGCTGATGAGAGTAAGATATCTATGTACCACATACAGCTGTATAGGTCTTCTAAGGCCATGTTATCTTGACATCAATAACAATTAATTAGCACCCATTGACTTGAGTGGATTAGCAGAGTTATGGGAAAAAAGAGAACCTAAGAGAGAACACTAAAAACTCTATAAACCTTTATTAGAACAAGTTCTTTAAAATCTCAAACTCATATATACAATTAAGTAATGTTACAACTTTCAAATATTTACATTAAAAAATAATTTGGAACAGCTATTTGATAAAACATTTGAATATACAGTAATTTCATATCAGAAAGCTAACAAAAGTTGATTTTATAGCCTTCCAATGGATTTAGCATTACAAAAAAATATATTTTTTAGTCTCAGAGCACGAGTTTTCTATGAATCTATAATTTATGACTGCATAGAAACTAAAAAGAATGTTCCTTTTTGCTGAGGTTACTGTTAGGATTATGTTCTTTACAAGTGCAGGACTCTTATGGAATTAATTAACTGTTGGCAATATCAGTAACCTTATGTTTGTAATGTTATGGAGGAGTTATTTCTATTTTGTTAAGATACTAATTATTAAGATATGTAGGAGAGATGTTGCCTAATTACCCTTCTTATTATCCATGTATTTCTCCAAAAAATCCTCCTTCGGATCTGTAGCTTTTCTGCCTTCTGCAGGACAAAAATGCCTGACACTGTAAATTGGATGTCAAATTGCCTTGGAGTGCTGGATAAGTACTGAAATAATTGAAGAAAATGGAAGAAGAGGTAACAGTTGTTTAGGGATCATCACATTTGCTAAACATTTTAGAACTATACACAGTGGAAGAGATTTTCTGTTTGCACGCTTTTTCTCAGTTTCTACTGAGCGATGATAATTTGAATTTTCAGTTGCCAGTGGATGTTGCAAGAGGATGGGTTGGCTCAGATCAGGCTGATAATGAGGAGATTACAGCAGAGGCCTAAATATTGTGTAGTGCATAGTGATAATAATACTTAAAACCCGCTGATATCTTATGTGCTCTCTGGTTGTCCTTCTTTTTGTTTTGTGAGTTAGAGGACCTGACTATGCACATCATCTTTGGAAAACTAAGGTGCCTCAACCAAAGGTGTCAAGTTAATATTCATGAACTGGAATATTAGAATGTTTTGGTTTACTGGTGTAGGAGAGAAATTTTCTAAGTCCCCTGCAATTCAACTCACCTACAAGATTAAAATACTGGAACAAAACTGTGCAAAAGGAGATGACCAAGAACTGATGACAATGATGTAAAAGAAACAGGAGTGCAAGGGGCACACAGGCAAGCAGAAGAGAGAAATAACAAATGGGGTGAGGGAAGTGAGGGGCCAGGGCAGCACCCAGGCTGATGCTAAGCCCATGACCCCGTTGTCCACAGAAAGTTTTGGCTGTAACCGGAGTGAGTGGGTGCTGGGTGATGGCTGTGGCAAATGCAGAAGTCAATAGGAAAATGATGATCAAAGAAAGAGACCAGCGAGGTGAAAAGGGGCAGTGCAGAGCCAGGCTGAGGTATCAGATAAATGAATGATCCCCTCCATAGTTAAAGGCTGGGGAAGAGTAACAATGATGTAAAAATGTTTAGGGGAAAATAGAAATACTAAAAATCATATTTGTCTAGTATGGAGGCAATCTATTAGCATTATCCATAACTATACTGAAATGCAAACTACTTGGCCAAAGAACTGCCTAAAGCATTATTTTGTATTTCCAAATGCCTTGAAAGTACCTGAAGAAGAAAATAAATTCCCTAGCATGCCAGATTTTAGAGAGGGTAAATGACATACCCTGGATAATCATAAAGCTCTGAGATGTAAGTTCTGGCCAAAATTGATTTTAAAGCTTGATATAAAGATTGATTAATCATGAAAACAAGAATAAGAATTAATGCTTACTGGCATGAGTTTACAGAATATAATTCACTCAAGGTAAACTCAAAAAATAAAATATGTAAGTCAAACTAAATCTCTGAGAAACTGACTTGGAACTGTGCAGCATTTTATCTGGCAGAAGGACCACCTAGAATTAATATTAATTCCAAACCATCCTGTTGAGCACAGGCTCTTATCAAATGCCAGGATGTCAATTTGCTGTTTTAAATAAGGCAAGGGAAGCTTTACACATACATGTATCTGCTTTTATGTGTGTTACGTACTTAAACTACATCCCTAAGAGATTTGCCATAGAAAATCAGCGGACACAGTTGCAAGATTTATATTCCCCACCTTGAGGTATCCCAGGAGTCTGATTTTTTTTCAGAGTAATTAAAGGTGACCAGGTACGCTTACAAGTCCATGTCTTTCAGATATTGCAAGCTCAATATTCAACAACAGAAGCAGCAGAAAATGTACTGCATCTGAAAACCTTGACCAAGTAGTTATGCATAACACAAACCTGTGTTTGATGTGAGTACTGAATTGTTCAAGTTTTCAAGCTCACTTATTTTTTTAAAAAAGAAATGTTTTCAAGTTGGATATTCCTGAGGTAGGTGGTTAGAGAACAGCCCTCCCCAGGGAGGAGACTTACATGGAGAGAGCTAGCCCAGGGCACTCATCTGTGGAGATAGTGAACTGAAAGGCAATCTCAAGATAATAGTTTTCACTTCTCCAATAATTTTAATTTGAAAAACGAAAAACACACTACAGACAGAGTCCATGCCCTTGCCGGGCTGCAGCCGCTTCTGGCTATTCCTTTGAGAGGCATCTCAGCTTCTCTCTCTGTCCTCAGATGTGGTCTGACAGTCCTAGCCTGGTACCTCCCCAGCCGATGCTCTGTGCAAATACAGTGCACCATTCAGAAAAAGCAAATTGAAAAATAAACATTGCATAGGCATGAGCTTTACATCCACAAAGCCAGGGCCATCCAGAATTATGGACATGGAAACAAACACCCCTGAAAAACAAAACAAAGAAACCCACCGAACTTTGAACAGAAGTGGTTTTACTGCAGAATGAGACAGAATCCTGAACTGTTTTGGGAACTTTTAGGGGGGGAAAAAGAGGAGATTTCTCTTGATTTGTGAGGAATGTCATTGCAGAAAGAATTTAAATCAGTCTCTAATCTTGCTACAGTGCTTCTCTTTATTTCTTTTCTTTTTTTCCTTCCCCTTGGTGATGTTTCCTTTCTGAAGACCACATCTAGCAGGACACAACCAAAGCATTTGCTTGTCTGGTCTTTTGAGATGAATTATATTTAAATCCAGTTCTTCCAATATCTGGGGGATGGTTAGCTTGTGTGCTGTTTCCCTTTAGCCAGTTCTCTGCTGTTCTGACTTCATGATTCACCATCACTGTGTACACACAGGAGAGAAAAAAACACACCAGTGTCATGCTGTTGGGTTAGTTGTCTCAGCAGGAAATAACATGAAAAAGTATCTCTGGAGTCCATGAGAAGGTGTTACCAGGAAATAAATCTGTCAGTCATGTAACAGATGAACAGACCCCATCTGCAGTGTTGGATGTTGGCAGCAAGGGCTGCTCTGATTTCTCTGATGGTTAGTGGCTGCCCAGCACAGCCTGTCTGCTGCTCCCAGGCCTCTTTCCACAGGTGAGGATAACTTTCTATAAATAGAATTTTTTTATTACATCTGACCTCATAACAGGTGCATTTTCTCTTTGTCCCGCTGGTTTCTGCCCAGCTAGCTTGTTCCCTAGCTCTTTCTTAATACTGTTTTTATAATGTTCATGCCAACATTAAAAATAAGACATCTTTTACCAGCTGATTGGATTTCAGTCAGCATTAACAGCAGGGGTTTAAACCACTCTTGAAGCTAAAAGGGTCACTCATAATATTTTACATGTTTTTTTAAGTCCCTTGTCAAACTGAGGCACATCCTGGGAAGGCAGTACTTCTTTCTGTACTGGCTTATTACCCACCCAGAACATTTCTCCATAAGAAAGAGTCACCCTTTTCAGACAGAAGGACTAGAAGAGTGCCCAGCAGCACCCAAGGCAAACCAAACCTCTCAGGAGGTGTGATAAAGCATAAGGGGATTGCTTGTACTCCTGCTCCCTCCTGCATGGACAGGATGAGTGGGAGCCCTGGCCTCAGGGAGGCTGGGGAGGTTTCTGTGCTCAGGCACAATCAGGATTTTAGCACTAGGTTTCAAAGCCAAGACATATTATTTCAAATATATATTTTGAAAAATGTATGTAATTTTTGAAAATATATAGATATATTTGTAACTTAGCTTACATGCAAGGTAGGTGACCTCTACCTACCAAGAAGCCTGGGATGTCATATCTTGCCTCCTGTATACAAATGTGCAGCCTTGATGCTCACTGAGTACAAAATTTTATTATAGTAATAGCTTTGTTTCATTTTATTTCATAGTCTTTCACTTTCCTCAGTCAAAATAGCTGCTGAAAACATCTGTTTATTTGTATGTAGTTCTCTTTCTGACATTATTCAGCTAAGCGTTTGATCAGGGAAACTAGCAAATATTGGTCTGATAAGGTTCAATTGCAGAAATAAACAGGAATCAGGTTTTTTTCATTGTTCACCCAGAAATCCCACCACTTCAGATACCTTTTCTCATTGAAATAATGCATAGTTCAAAACTTCATGTGAAACGAAATTTGCAGAAGTAGCTCGGAGTTAAGGGAAACACTCGACTTAGAAATATTTAGGAACAACTTTCATTCTGAAAATGTCAAAATGTCATTATTGAAATGTTTAGTCTCATATATTTTCAAAATTATATCAAAATCATTCATAGTTCAAAACATTTGGGTCTTGATGAATGTCCCCCCAGTATCTTTATGAATCATGGAAACAACACTAAGCCATCTCTGTTCAGTGAGACCTTGAGATGTTTCCCATGCTGAAATACCACCAATAAAATCTAAAAGAGAAATTACTATAATTTGAGAAGAATTTTTCCCAAACAAAGCAGTCTTTCAGAATCTAAAATAGAATCTAATAATCTCACATTTTGTATTCAACTAATATCCTTTGTCTGAGCAGCTCTGAATGTTTTAGAGATAAATTTCCTATTTTTATTTGCATTTTTTGCCTTTCTACAATTTCTCTACAGTGTGATTCTATGGTACCAGTCACAAGAAAATATACTTAAATGACGTGTGTACCTTCGCTCTGACTGAAGGATGTTTATCCAAACAGGGGTGCTTTTTCGCATCAAGGCTTAAGCCTCACTATATTATTCTGAAGTGTCAATAACTCTGTTTTACAGGTGGGGAGCTTGAGGCAAGGTGTAGCCTAAAGATGCCTTTTGACAGCCAAGAACAAAACCACCTCATTCTGATGGGGTTAATGCAAATGCAGTAAAAAAAGCACTTTAGAAAGGATGATATTTAAAACGCCAGCTCAAGCTGGTATGTCATGATGATTTTTTTCTGAAAATGAATTGTTTAAGTTTTGGAAAGTAAACTTAATGCTAAGGTTGGTGTGCCTAAAAAGCCTTTTCCAGTCTGACTGACTGGTGTTTTGCTGGTGTTAGCATATGACTCAAGCATGCTTTGTCCTGTTCTCCCTGCTATAGTCAGTGGAACGCTCAGCAAATCTGCTTTTAGAGAACCACTGTGCAGCTGCCTCTCCTTAACAATTTTCCCCCTCTGAGTTATCGTTTAGAGGCAGGAAGGGAAGACACAGATGGCTAGCAAATCCAGGATCTTTTCCAGCTGCTTAGGGTAAAATTAATGCGCTTGCCTGCATCTGGAACCCAGAATCTAAGTCTTTTTTTAAACAAAACTAAACTAAAGCAAATACCTCACAGCACTACAATGATGATTTCTCTTGCAATAGGTGTAGGCAGAAACCTTTTAAATACAAATGGCTGAAGTGGACAAGCCCCATCCAAAAGCTCCCCTGAAACTGCAGCTTTGGAGCAACTGACTTGCAAACTCTCTAGCAGTGGTGATTTAACATCCCTGCTATTTCATTCCTGAGCAAGGAAGCTCAGGAAAGAGGACTAGGATATTATGAGAGTCCACAGTGGGAGGTGCAGTTCTGCCAGAGAGACATATTCAGCTGAATTATCTGGTGCCATGGGAAGCAGAAGACCTAGGTCCCCTTCCTGCCACCTGTCCCTGTTCCTGGCCTTGCCTGATTGCACCTCTGCTTCCACTGCACCGGGGGTTTTCTTGGCACATAGGATACTTTACTTGTTTGTTATCATAACCTGGCACAGAGGAGCTGCTTTGCCCACTACCCAAAATGCAGCTGCAACATAAGGGTGCAGGCAAGGGCAATGTACAGCCTCTTGTTTCCAGCTGGAAACAGAATTTTTAATTAGGGAAAATGGGAGTTTGAGAGGGATTTAGGAGTTCTGGCCAAAATCCTGAGGAAACCAGCCAGAAAGATTTTAAGTTTACAAGCTGTCAGGATTGCGGTTTTGCATCCCTTTGGGACCTCTGCTTGTACAATGAGCTAGTGCCAGCTCTGGGGGAGTGCTGCACCAGGGCATCAGGAAGGTCCTTCAGGTTTCTCTAGGGTCGGACAAGTTCCTGTCTGGCAAGTCACATTTTAAACTAAAGCATCTGGCAATGGTTCTCAGGGACCCATAGGCAGCAGGCAGCAGAGGGGAACTGGGTGCATGCAGTGGTGAAGAGTGCCAAGGAAGCTACGCTGAATGCTTATATTAACACCTTGGGAAACTGTGAGTAAAGTCTGATCAGCAAGTGAAACTCCCTCTGTGCCATCTGGTTGTCTGTCTTGCACCAGTTTACAACTGCAAGATTATTTAGCGTTGCAATTTACAGGTAGAGAGTTTTTGAGAAATATGAGTGTCAAGCCTTTTGTTTACACTGAAGTCAAAGTCCCTATATATAAAAACTTTAAAATTTATATAGACCAAAGAATCACTCTGTAATTACATGCAAAAATAGATTATTTTAGAGTGACATTGACTGTATTTCTTCAAATAATATAATGAATTAAAGTACCTTGGGTTGGCAATTGATTCTTTTTCTTCTTCTCTTACAGTAGGCAAACATTCACAGTCAGCTGAAAAAGGATAAGAAACAAGACCATAGTTACTCTTGGCAATTCCTCTACATGTATTTCAAAAATGCATCAACTTTTATCATGCAGTCTCTCTAAAATACAGATCTGTTGATACACTTCTGTACTGTTTTATCTGCACGGACCCCATAGCATAAATGTTACACATTTTAAATCCTCCTTCCTTTTGATAAGTGTTGCCAGAATTTCTTTGTGACATATATTTCAGTTATTTATGTACACCTACACAAATTAACTATTTTTGAGGACTGCTTCCCTACAAACTGCCATGGGTAGGTTGTCTGTTAATCTTCCATTGCTTATAGTTGCACCTATGCTTTATAGCCCAGCTGGGAATTTGGGGCTGGAGTTTGGGTAACACTAACACACACACACACAAGTATGCAAAATATTTGTTCCCTTCTCTCCACAAAATTTAAAAACATATTTTACAACACTATTTCCCTTTGTAGCACACTTAATGCGTCTCTTTCACTATTGCCACTTAGCGCATGTTTTCCACTGGAGCTTACAGACCGCAAAGGTCAGAGCCCCGTCACGTGGAGCACTGTGCTAATGCAAAGAAATGCTCCCTCCAGAGAGTTTTATGTCGTGAAAAACAAAGCATCCCCCGTAGGTCAGGCAAATGAGCCATTTGGATATAAGGCAAGGGATCAGGAATGAAAAAAATATCAGTGTTTCAGCATTTCCCAGCCAGTGAAAAGCTGTTCGGGGTTCAAAATCAGGCCTCAGTTAATTCATGCCTTACCAAAGATCCTCATTTTTTTGAGAAGACCCTTGAAGGAGAATGCAGGGCCCATAGGGATTTTGACTGGGAGATTACAGTTGGGAGGAAGGTGAGGGGGAAAATGCAAGAGGTAACTGAGAAGGGGGCCGAAGGTGCTGCTGGTGGTAGTTATTCTAGGTTCTAATTGCTCCACGTGCTGATAGACTTGCAGGAGAGGGGAAGGGCATGTTCACAAGCTCCTGACAGCAGTTTTAAATAAACAGTGGTCTGAGCTACGAACAAATGCGTATTTCTCCTACACAATGTGGAGCACAAAACTGTAGTAATTCTGAAAACTGAAAGGACTAGATGCTTCATAGAAACTAGTATTTAGCATTAAAAATGTGTATTTAAAAATATAAATGCCCCTCACAGCTATATGTGTGTTTAACAGAAATGTCTGCTGGAAACAGAAAACATTTATGAGATTCCACCACATGTTAAAAATAAACTCCCACACAAACTAAAATACTGCTCTGAAAAATTCTACCCCTGACATTTGTGCAGTTATTTTAGTAGGAGGGAGTCAAGAGCACAACTAAAAATGTTGTAGGAAAAGCAGTGACATGCATACAAAACATCTTACGTTGATTTTTTACACATGGGATCTACGTCAGCTAGAAAGAGAGGGAGGATGGAGTAGAGGGGTTACCATGTACCATTTTTGTTCATGCTGTTCATCCATTTATCAAGCTCTTCCATTTCTATCTCCATAACAGAGGGCGTGTCTTCTTCAAAAATAGGACTTGAAAGAAGAGAGGGGGAAGAAAAGCATGACACAAAATGTTAATTTGTACAACTTACAATGCAGTAATTTTGTATGACTCTTTCCTAATTCCAGACACACATATTATCTCTGGAAAGCCATCTGAGGAGATGTCTGCCCAGTGGGTTTGAACCAAACAGCTGCAAACAGATGCAAGGGAGCATCTCTGAGATGCTGGTCCTGGGCAGAGCTAGGGAGGACTGAGACATAACATACAGAGGGAGCCAGTGCAGCCTGAGGCGTGCCAGAGCACAGGATCACTGCAGCTTCTTGAAAACCGTCCCTGCTGTAAATAGGAAACAAAAAAATAAGATAGTTTGTCTCTGCCCTGCTGGAAAACATTGCAAAAGTCCCATTGCTCCAGCGATAAAAGGCCTAAAGTTTCATCATAGCTGTGACTGACATTTGCAGTGACTTCAAAAGGAAAGGTCATGAAAAGAGTAACTGCATTTATTTAAATGCCTCCACTTAGCTTCCTTTTGCTTATCATTCCTGCAGTCGTAAGATAGAAAAAATATTTTTAGCAAAAAACCCTTTTTTCCCTCCTAGATGCAATTTATGAACTTTCAGCATTGATTAGCAAAATGGATCTCAATAAAAGGTAACAATAGAAATTATCACTCTGAAAGAGCCACACAGCTTTTGGCTTGTTTTCCCAGCATCTAAGGCATTGCTCCCATGGCAACCAGGCTAGCCTTTCTGCCTCACCTCTGAGTGAGAAGACAAACTTGAAAAACAGGGGAGCAAGACACAAAGCTTATTCTGAATAGCAGAAGCCTGTGATGAGTCTGGGAACTGATCCCGTTTGCTCCTGGGGTACCTTGTGCCTCTGGTGACTGAGGGAGCAGGAGGTGCCTAGAGCAGGGGCAGCAGGGGCTGCAGGCCTGTGGGCCTGTGGGGCAGTGCTCGCCTCAGTCACTGCAGCTCCTTTACCTTCAACCAGGTACTGAAGTCACATTTTAGCCACCTGTAGAGATGGTTAGCTGGTGCAGCTGATGGCAAAAAGGGTATGGTAAAATTAAAACAGGTGGTGAAGGAGACAAAAATCATAATGTCCTGTTAGAATAAAATTTAAAAAAAAATTTATAAAGAGAGAGATTCATAAAATTTACCTTTTCACATTTTCACTTCCCAGCTCATCTGGAAAAGAAGAAAGTTGGTGTTCATAGTTCTGCATTATATATACCCCATTGTATATACAAGGTCCAAGACTGCAAGCAAGCCTTGAATAGGGTCACATAAAACAGACTGCATTTTCAAAAGGCATAAAAACTAAATTTTAGATGAAAGACAAAACATCTCATCCTGTTTGTAATTTTCAGAGGAACCCATTATTTTTAATCTTGAATACACTAATAGCAGCTCCTTATTAGCCATGCTGGGAGGAAGCCAAGTGTCAGTGCTGCAGTGGGTGGGACAGGGCAGATGCTCGCTTCCCTGAGCAAAACAGATGTCATGAGGGAAATGGTATCCTGAAAAGGAACCACTTCTGCAAAAATATTGTTTACGAGAGGCATTGGGACATTTTTCTACAGACTACACACAGGCAATCCAGCTCTGTCTGGAGACTCTGGAAGCCACTCATGGAGAGAAGAAGGGGGGGTTGGACTTGCATGGCAGATTAAATCTCCGTCAGGCAAATGAAGCTGAACTAGCCAGATGTCAAAAGGGATCTAAAGCTACTTATGATCCCAACATATAGTAAAGATGGGGGCGAAAATGGTGTAACAGATAAATAACTTCCCCTCCAGGAACAGAGTGACTGAAAAGCCTGTCTCAAATCAGCTTATTTTTGCTTCATTTTTGCCAGTGGGTACTGATACCTCCCAGTTGTTCCAGCACTCTGGCATTTCCTGACTACAGAGCCACACAAAAACTACAGAGCCATCTGCCCCAGCCTTGAGGATGCTCAAAATCCCAGCTCCAAGCAGTAGGCACGTGACAAGAGAATCCAGGATTGTGTTCCTGAAAGGCGCCACATTTCCTATCCCTCTGAAGAGTGTACATGCACATCAAATCATCCAGAAACAGGCAGGCAACTAGGTGCCTGCTTGTGAATTCAGTTCTTTAGAGGGAGATGCAATGATAAGGCAAATGCAGCCTAAAAACAAACACCCCAAAAGATTTACTTAAAATCTGTGCTGAATGTGTTGCACTGCCTGCAGGCTGAGGAGCTCACAGCTGCACGCTGGCTCTGTGGAGACACTGATACAACCATTTCAGGACTTCACTTACCAGATGCGTGGTTTTAATATGACACCTTAGTTTGTTTTCTGTGGCTTGACACTCCAAGTTACCACTTTCTTTGTTAAGAGATGAAGGCACCTTCCTGAAGCACTGCTCACCCTACCACAGCACTCAGGCACTCTGACCATGGGATTCCTAGGCCATTTACTGTGATGTCTTCACAGCAGCCACTACCCTATGGGAGTGGGATCCCTTAAAGGTGTTCCTCAAAATGGTGTTGCTTGTTCTTATTTTATTGAAGCTCCAAACAGCTTTACCTTGTGGGCAGTATAGGCAATAGAAGCATTAATTTCACTTTGCATGAAGTTATTGAGCATAGAGACAGAATAAGCATTTGAGCCACACAGTAACATCCCTAAGTATTCTCAGCATTGCCAGGAGCTGGATCTTAGTGCCATGACTCCCATGGGTGTGCAGCATGAGCAGGAGGTGCCAAGAAGGGGAATTAGCTCCTGTCCAAGGACAAGTGTGTGCCCAGGTACTGCTGCCAAGGAGGATCATTCTCCTATCTGTCAAACGGGCAACTACAATCAGAGAAGGACATCCTAAATGTGGCATCACAGGCCTCCAAATAACGTTTTGTTAATGTTGAGTACATCCAAAAAATATTCTTTTGATGCACAAGAAGACAAATTTACCTTGCTTAGACTTTTTCCTTTTGTGATGTATTACAAAAAATGTGACCAATAAAATCATTAGGACCAGAAGCACGGCAGGGACAACATATATCAAGAGAGACTGTTCTGCTGCTTCTAGACTGTCCTCATCATTCACAGCATTCGGTTCACTACTTGAAGTACTTTCTGTTTCAAAGCTGCTTTCAGTGCTCGTTGTGACAAGTACTGTCTCATTCACGGTTGAAGAACCCATAGCAGGAGGAGGAGATGTTACTGGAACAGTGGATAATGTCGATGGTCCATCTCCTGATCCATCATTTTCAGGGCCTGTAAAATATAGGAGGTCAACTTAACATTTTATGGGTTTCATTAGTGTTATCAGTGAGTCACAGTGTACAGCTTTAGTACTTATTTTCCATTTGATGTCTTAAAAAAGTCAGCAGATGCCCCATACACACAGATTTGAAGTCTTGGGCATCAGATGTAAAATTAGATCACAAATTTGTCACAAAATCTTACCAGTCATTACTATGTTCTTTAGCTGGCTTTTAGTGGGACAAGTCAGCATGCGTGGTCTGTCTGCACAAAGCTGCCTTGCACAAACAGACTTCTTTTCCTGCAGGTTGACATCCGGCCTTGCTCGCATGTAAAATTATTTTGCTTCTCAGTAAACCACACCAGCCTGTTTTGCTCCTCAGTCTTGGCACATACATCCCTCCCCTTACCCAAGGAGTTAGGTACTCCCTTCAGGGAGACCCATTATCCCTGGCTCACTAATTCCTTTGGTTCATGCATCTCCCTGTTTCTGTGCCTTTCTCAAATTAATTAAGTTTGTCTCACTGTGGAGAACAGAATTGGTGAAAGGAAGGCCTGAAGGATGCAGAAGCTGCTGACTTCCACTTATGCCTGGGCCAGAAGAGGTGGTAGTAACAAAGGGACGTTACTGGGTACAGGTGCCATTAACTGTTCCTGTGGCTGATCCTACAGGCTGGCTGAAGGAGCATGTGGTAAAACATCAATGCTGATTATTCCTCATAAATGCTAAGACTGGGCATTTTGAACCTCGGTTTTGGTTTTGGTTTCATTTATCATGCATTTTGCAAGAAAAGTGGCTAAAATTGGCTATATTGGTAATAATGAAAAAAGTGCTTTTTGTGAGGCTAATTAAGAGTCTGTATTGACTGTCACAGAGTTTAAAGCTCAAAACAAGTACAGCAAATTATGGGCAGGAATCCGTCAGATAAATTACAATAGCATGCTTCCTAATGCAAAGCCTTCAGTAATTTTCTTAGCATGAAATTAAACGATGGGTTTTTTGTGTTATCTGCCCTTTCAGATACGATGCTGGCACAGTGCAGGTCTCATTTTATGCAATAAAGCAGGATGGGATTTCATGACTTTCGCAATGACATATTTCTCCTCATTCTTGTAAAGTGCTGGGCAGCCATAGTTTCCACTAGAGTTAGCAAGAGCTTAAGGTTTTCAGCACCTCAGTGCTGGCATTTCCAATCTCATAGGACTGGAACCAAAAGTACTTAGCATTTTAAATGCTTTTGTAAACACATTAATCTTCATAATGGCCCTGAGAGATGAGCAGTTATCATCTCCATTTTACAAATGAGAAATCAGAAGGACAGGGATGCTGTCCTTCCAAGGGACACCAAGTGAAAGAGGAAAACTGGGATTAGAGCGCTATCTCTTGCTTAATCCACTCTGCAGCATCTCCTCTCTCCCATCAGATTTGTCTCTAAGAGGAGATGACTATTTAATGAGACTGTATTTCAGTTTCACATGAATAAAATTATTTGAGTGTGACAGCAGCGTTCTATCTAGATTTTTATGCTGTGCATATCACACAGGCACCTGATTGTTTTATTCTTTCCTAAAAACTAGGAAAGAATTTGAATACTTAATAAAAAATACCTAATACTTGTATATTTAGTACTGTGAAGGTCACCATATTGCACCACAATAGGACAATGAAAATAATAGCTCTTTTGTGGCAAAGCACTTTGTAACTTAAGTCTCTCTGTTGCTTTCTTCTGCATTTATTATTTCAATCAAGAGCAAAACATTATCTCTGCCTCCCTTGCAGGTAAAGACCCCTTATGCAAGTGCTCCTCCACCCCTCTCCTTAATCCTATCGCAGAAGACAGGAGGGAGAGCTTCTCTCCCTTATTAGTTTGGCCATTTGACTTTTCGTTCCCAAGTTTATAGTTCCCGGTGTCTGCAGCCACTCCATTTGGATTGCTGCTGTGCAGAGCTGCGAGGTAGCACTAGAGATGTCTGTGCCACAGACTGCGCTGTGATAGACCGTGCCACTGGCAGAGCTGATGGCCCACCACAGCCTCACTGAACCTCTTCAATGACCTTGCTTCATTTTCTTCCTCTAGCCATCGTCCTTGAAACCCATTGCTCGACACATTTGATACATTGAGAGGGACAAGCCTGTTGCTTAAAATAGTGCGAATGTGAAAGGGTGTGGAGAACATACCTTATTTCTCATTTGCTCTTGGAGTTAAAATGGATTTTTCAAATGTCTAAAGCATGGTGTGGCTTTAAAGCAAAGCAAACAGTCACACCTCATTACCTGCAGTGCTAAAGCTTCAGCTGCAGACTATGCTGTGCTTGATTTCCGACACTTCTCCAGTATCTCTGGTATTTTTCCTGTTTTTAAGCTATGAAACAGACTTCAAATCATTTTTCTCTGTGTGAAATAGAATTACCTTTTCTAGTCTCTAGGCAAAGAAAATGGCAAATCAGAGGGAGTGACCTTGCTGCCACGTACTTTTGTTCACTTTGCATAATTCCAGGGGCAAAACAGCATCTCTCTGGGAACACCATTTCCTCTTACAGAGATCTTTTCTCTGAGTGAATTAAATATGTCTTTCAGCAGAAGGGCAGACAATTGCAGAATGTTCTTGCGAGGATATTGCTCTTATTTCCTGCTACCTCAACATATCTCCCTACCCTGTCACCTCTGAGGACTAGAGCTCGGACCCCAGGGATGTCACACAGCAGTTGCTCTCACTCTCAGGCCACCCACACATCACACTTCGTACGCAGTAGGAGAGCACAACCTGCACCTGGGTTGGCCTGGTGGCTTGCCCCATGGAAGTATTTGTGCCTCCAGTTTGACAGGCAGAGACAGGCTCAGGCCTCCCCGTGCAGCTGCAGGGCTCGCCGCAGCCAAGTGCCATGAGACCCACGTGGCTGGCCTCAAGGGAGCTGCTGTTTTTCACAGTGTTTCAATCTGAAGTGCTCAAAATAGCGAGTGGGCTGGGTTGCAGCTGACCCCAGCGGCTGTTTTGTAGGGTAAATGAAAGCTGGGTGTTGCAAGGTTTGGAGCAGGGCGGAAGGTCATTTGAAAGCTGGGGATTTTGTGAGATGCTATTCAAACATCTTCTCCGTGCCAGATGTGCAGGGGTAATTCATACCATGAACTGTCTTGTTAGCTGTGCTGGAGTTTAATCTTGCAAGAGATCTAGTACCTTCCTGCAAATGGGAATCTGACCATAACATAACATACTGGGATGGAAAACCAAGGCCAAAGGAGGGCAACAAGGAGCAAGTCACATCTGATCATGTACATATCTTCTTGACTTTGCAAAGCCTGTGCCTTTTCTCTTGCTGAGCTCAGCCTCATGGTGTTGGCTACAGTCCAACATCCATACTCATCCCTCTGCACATCTTGTCCAAGGAGCATGTGCTCGTACAACAACCACGTCAGCTTCACTTTTGTCTGGACTGCCTGGGGCATAAATACTGGTGACTTCTTCCCATGTCCAGGGAAGTGGATGGGAACACACCACAGCTTCAGCCCAGCCCGTATTGTCACTTTCCATGCTTTCAAGAGCAGAAGGAAGAAGGGCTGGCACACAGCTGGGTCCCGCCCTGATGGGGAGACGGGCACAGCTGGGACTGTAAGCTAAGAAGCTGGAGCCAGAAGTTAAGAAGTCCTCGGGTTTCCACCATTAGAGGATCTAGTCCTCAAGGGACTAAAATGCCTGAGCAAGCACTAGCAGCATCTCAGAAAAGTCTCAATTAACAGTTCTTAAAAATTACGAAGAAGCTATGTCCCTATATATAGATACTATGGTATAAGGTGTTATTCACTGTTTTCTACTTCAAAAATATGCTCAGATCACTGATGGTCTTTGCTTGAGTTTTGGAGGTGCTCCCAAACCTGCTTTTCATGGGAGACAGAGGGAGTTGAATATACCAAGTGGCTTTACAGATTGGAGTCAAAAAAACACATCTCAGTCAAACAAACAACATTTCTCCTGTTGCAGCATTTCTTCCTCTGAGGTTTGTGCTGCAGCACTCAGAGGAGGTGATATGAGCTTCCTGATTAAGTAAGCAGGCAAACAGGTTTCTGAATTCAGTTGGATGCTGGGCAGAGGAAAATTGCAAAGGAAAATAGCCGTCAGTCAGCACATTCGGTTCTGTTGTAAAACTGAACCTGCTGCCTTACCATCAGACTCAAGGACTGGGGTCTCTGAAGGGAGTTTTTCAAATTACACTACAGTACCTACTTACAGAAGAGAAAGGAACCGGGTAGGAAAAAAGCAAGAGCTGTGTCAGTGGGATAGCGAGGCTTACTAGTTTGAAAGGAAAATTTTTGTCCCATAAGCTATAAAAATGCAGTGAAAGGAAGACCCACGAGAAGGTGACAGAACAAGAAAAGACTGTAAAGCTGGCATGAAGTTACCACATCCTATATCACTCTGTTCTACACACACATTCCTTCTGTTGGTATAGTCATACCACTCCACGTGATCCATATGATCCTTTCCCGTACTGCTTGGCTCATCCCTGCACTGTTCCTCTCCCACATTTCAGATTGCTGTAAGAAGGGCTGTTCCTTGCCATGGCCAGGGCTTGCCCAGGTGCCTGTTGAGGCAGGTCTCGCTTGTCAGTCTGGCTGGAAGAGGAATCCTTAAAAGCCTGCAGGCAAGCTGTTGGGTGCATGTGCTGCTCTGATGAGGGAGCACAGGCATTTCAGGATGGCTAATCTGTAGACAAGATCCTATTAAAACAAGGTGCTTAGAAAGCGTTATCTAGGTATAACCTGAAAGAGGAAACAACTGTTTAAGCTCATTTATAGACCATGGAAACTGCTTTTCCTCAGTGTATTTCCATCCAGCTGAAGTGCTGCACTAACTGCTGGTATTGCAAATTCAGGCACAAGTCTTAGTGGAGTCTCATTTCTAATCCCCAGTGCTAAAGGTTTTCCAGACCAATTTATGCATTTAGTTACTTCTACTTAGTCCCATGGCCTTCTAGCATTGCATTTGTGATACCCATGCAACCTCACTGTGATGTAAATCTTCTAGTGCTCCTTGCTCTCAGGAGGACTCTGAAATTAAAGATTCAAAAGCTCCAGAGGCTTTCCAGCTATGGTAAAATCTCATGATGGATAAGAGACTGGTGTCACTGACTGAAATTTAGTATAGAGTCTTGCTGATGTAAATGAGAGATTTTCTGAAATGTCCCTGAAGCACTCGAATAAAGCACAGTGACTGTTTGTGTATGTGGATGAAAGTGAGGAATGGGAGTAAATATGTAGGAAGAATTGATGTGTTCAGTAAAAAGGATTTTTCATCTGCTTTTAAGAGGACTGCACTTTGGAAAGACAGGATGTAGCAAATCCTCATTTTTTATATTGTTGCTTTTATAGAAAATTTTAACGGGCGACTGTAATGGGTTCAAACCTATTCTTGAGTTCAATACTCTAGGAGGAGACAGGTCAAAACTATCACTGTCTTAGAGACCTCATCTTTTTAGGGACTTAACCCAAAAGGCACTTCTCTGCCAAGGCAAGAGTCGCTGCCTGTGCTCACGGTACAAGCTGCTGAATATCTGGACCTTTGATAGCAATGTTTCTTTAAATGACAGCTCAAAACAATAGCACAAGAGACACAGTCTTCAACTTAGTGATCTTACAGGTTTTACTGTTCCTCTCTCTCACACGTTTTCTTGCTCCCCATGTCAGACTGTTTATGCTGCAATTTCCCATGTGCTTCACTGAACCCAGTGGGAGATGGCATACCCTGAGAAATGACTGTAGGGTCAGAGCCTGTCCCTATACGCCATAGTAAGGGTCTAAATGCTTGTTACTAGGGTCAGCACACACACCTAGGTAGGTGTTTAGGGGTGTTGCAAGGCTGAGCAGTGAGCACCATCACCTGCAGTAGAGAGAGCCACTGTCACCTGTAGGGCTTTCTGGCTGCATTAAAGCCAGGGAAAGGGAACTGGTGCAAATCCCAATGTTCCTTCAGTATGGAGCTGTGAGAAGGCCAGCACCCAGAGCTGAGACCTCAGGAATGCGCTTAGAGCTACTGGATTAGAGTAATTGTAGCATAGATGGGAGAAAACCATCCATAAACATAATCCAAATGGCAAGGCTAGGGTTTTACAAGGCTCTGGCAGGGTATGGGAATAGGACTTAATCTGTCTATGCTGCAAGATTTAATCATACTCTGTTTGACGATTTTGTAAATGGTATTTAGACAGCAGACCACTTGAAAGGGGAAGACTGTGTCTGGTAAATTGTAAAGCTCCTTTAAAACTCCTGCCCTGTTGATCTGTGAGCCAGGAAGGTTGAGAGCAAAGGATCTCTCTGGGAGGCTGCCCTCAGTGGAGGGGCTCTTCACCCACCAGTGCCTCTGGGGTACCTAAGGCCTACAAAAACTTTTCCTCCACCAGTTCAATTTCCCTCTGAAGGCCCAAGTTCACAGCCTCCCCCTCCCACCTCCCTCCCTTGCAGTCAGAGTACTCCCCCAGCTACAGTTTAGGGCTGATGGCATAAGCAAAAGACGCCTTTGTACGGGGAGCAAAGGTGGGTGTTCTCCTCCCCTTCCCCAGCTGCTGCAGGCTGGCTCCGGAAAGTCAGGGCTGATAGGGCTTGGGGAGGGTTCTTACAGCACTGACTCACTCCTGAAGAGGAACCATTCCAAAAATAACCAGAATTTAAATGGGGAAGTACTGGTAGGAAGCCTCTGAAGGCAGTCGGGGTGTGGGCTGGGGCACCTGACATCTGCCCAGTGCTTCAAGCAGCCTTTAATGCCCACGACAAAGAAGGGCCAGGGGGCTGAGGGGACTGGGGACTAAGGCATCCCTCCACCCTGAGGAGGTGATGAAATGTTATCGATCAGTACATGAGCTAAGGAAGCAGGACCCCGATCACACTGCATCTCCTGCATTGTGCTCCTCCCCTTCCCTGAGACCTCCGTTTTGCTCTGCCCATGGCAGGATTTTTGTTCCTCTGACCGCTTTGATTCTGAGCTATGTATGTTCAATGCTTGCAGCATATTTTCCCAACGTGCCTGCAATGCAGCAGAGCTCTAGTAACACAACGAAGACCAAACTATTTTATACCTCACTTAGCTCACTCTTACAGATGAGCAAGACTCCTAAGTACAAGCAGCTCAGCAGCACACAGGGAATCTGCAGCCCAGCTTTACACACTGCTTATAGTACTGGTTTTCACCGAACCACATATTTCTGGAATGCATTTTAAAGCCTTAAGAGAAGAAGTCCAGTGATGACTGAGAGTGACCATCCTCTCTCCCTGTTTTCCGCAGAGGGCAGCAAACACTCCTAGTCCATACTGAGGCACTTTGGCAGGGATTTGTTTGACACCGAAAGGTTTGTAAGCACTACCTGTCAAGGTTTCACTAAAAGAGCTGCCTGTCATGTGCAGTCGCTGGCTGCCAAAATGCCAGTGGAACAGACGAGAGTGTCTGCAAGCCCAGCACCACCCAGCATTCTGTCGCAAGTGGCTTTTTCACTCCTGGTTCTTCCCTTCAGAAGGTCAGGACCTAAATCCATGCTGGCGGACACTTTGTTCTGCAGCTGAGAATTCAAAATATTTGTCTCCGGAACCGGCTGTTCTTTTGTTAAACCAGTTTCTGTGCACTGGGACTGCGGAAATCGGCAGTCAGCTTTTGAATGGAAGCAGTGCTCTGTCTTTAACTTTACTGTTAAATGCTGGTAGTACTGGGTGTGGGATTTAAAAATAACTAAAATTAGAAGTAAAATGCCTGGTGGGTCAGCATGGAAACTCCAGTTCCCTACACAACTGCAATTTAGGAAACGCTGGAATTGTAGGATTAGGTTGTTGCTGTCTGGGGTTAGATCTAACGAGAAAAAGTCAAACCTTCATAGAAGACAGGCAGCTTTAAGCAGAGAGGGTAAACATAGCAAAAAGCAGCAGAGAGCAAGTCCCCACAGATCTTCTCCCAGTGCTTAGCTTGGAGGGTGTTACCCTCCAACTCGGTCCCATCGCTGCAGGCATAACACGCGGTCCCACCTCGGCAGGCAAAAGGCGCTTTTTTACTCACCATTCCCAACAGATCCTCCAGCCAGCGACAGGGCAGAGAGCAGGGTGATAAGGCTGGGATTTCTCATGCTGCCCTGGCAGTGCTCCCACACGAGGGGCGCTCCGTCAGGCTCCCTGCTGCACCCAAACATCTACATTTCCTGCTTCCTGCCAAGGTGCATCTGAGCTGCATTTCTTCAGGAGATGGACTCTCTTTGATGGGTTTTAGGAAGTGATGTAATTCCGTCTGGGCCTGTCAAGCAAGCAATGATTGCAAAAGAAAGAAGAAGAAAAAAAAAAACACAGAAGTTGCACTTCAAGCACAAACTTGGCTGAAGCACCTTTATTCTGTAGGTGAGAGAGCTCCCGCTCTCCTCCTGTCCTTTCACGCCTGACTTCAGTACCTTTTATCTTCATCTACACACAGTACCAAAGGGACAGACATCATACCAATACAAATCAGATACAAAATTTCATTTCTGTGAGTTAGCAGGAAGGTTTTATGTCACTTTTCAGGGTGGTTGAGCAAGGAAATTTCAAAAGTGCCTCCTCTCTTGCCTTGCTTTTCAAGCACGGTAGGACATTGAGTGCATTTGTGACCCCAAAAGGCAACCCCAAGTGGGGTGTCTCTAACAAATGGGATGAATTGCTGGCTCTCTTAGCAGCCTGTAACTGGTATTCTGAACTGGTTTGTACCAAGGAAGAGGAGAAAGCAGAAAACCACATCATTTTTTTTTTTTTTTTATTAGGAGAAGGTGGCTTAGCTGAAAAATGCTTAGACACTGGTGTGACAATGGCTATAGATGACAGGAGACAGAAGGTCTCAGGCCCCACCAAGGTGCACTGCCTGGCACAGGGGTCCAGTCACAGTTGATGGAGGTGGCAAGAGGCAGATAATCCTGCCTCCCTTCTGTATTAATCTTGATTTTCACTCCCCCTGGCAGTCTCTGTCTGGGTGTGCAGACCACAGGGCACAGCTGATGCCCCCCCAACACTGCCCTGTCCTCTGTCCCCACCACTCCACCACTGTCCACACACTCAGAAACATGAGGGCTGACCAGGGGCTTCCATGTATTGCCTGTCACTGGGTAGGAGCAGCTCACTCATCCCTTAGTAAAACATAAAACCTAGACAGAGAAACTGGAAGAGAGAAAAGCACTTGTTTTGATGCATTTTATCTCATATTTCTGGTGTAAAATACTATGTCCTTTCCTCTTTTCCCTTCCAGTCTTTCTACATAGCTTGTAGCATTTTCCACACAGATTCCCATCAACTGTTTTTGACTCATGTTTGGCTAACAACTTGTTGCTGCCCCTTGAAAGCAAGATAGACACCCAGTGGTGTGTACACAATTATGATTTCTAAGGCAAATAAAAGTACGGGAAAGTGACTCTTGGCCACATTACATTTTAATTAAGACTTCAGAGTGGTATCACTCTGAAGAGGCAGTTTGGCACACATTTGAGTATTTTAATTTTAAAAAAAATGTAGAGAAAGAGGAATGAGGTATTTTGGATGCTGATAAATCAGACTGTCAAGCAAGGGCAGTTACCAGGGTCCATCCCCAGGAGCATCAGAATCATGCTCCCCTGAAGCACTCCCAGCAGGCTCCCTTTTGCCTGCCTGGGAAGTAAGGGTAGCAATCTTTGCCTTGGTTGTGTTCCTCACCCTCATGCACCTCTCTTGATAGCAGAAATGCAGAAACCAAAAACTGTGCTGACAGCCTGGCTGCAAAACTAACTATGTATTTGGAAACCCAGGTGGCTTCAATCACAGATGATTTTGTAAGAGGGGTAGATTGTATCTGATAATTTCATAGGCCTTAGTGCATTTACAAGGATTCACAATGCACCTTGGCAAAAAGGAATGTCTTTTCACAGGTGAAACAACTACGTTTCCTGGGTGCTTTCAATGTGTGTTAGCCAGCTGGAAACATTCTATGCATGTTTGATGTTACCATTTCATTGGTCTTTATATTATAAAGGGCATTTCTGCCCACCTTGCTAGGCTCTTTGCTAATGTTCTTCCCTAATCAGAGAAGGATTTGCATCACTGAGATTACAGGATGTCACTAGCGAGACATTTTCAGAAAAACAGAAATGTACTGTAATGCTGCAGCCATTTGCCTCATGCTCTTCTTGTTCCTTTTTTCTATGAAAACAACAACAGCTAAACTTTTGCAACTCGTGGCAAGTTTAGGGTTAGTTATAGGGCTTATATTACAAACCCCTGCTCTTGCAGCGTGTCTGCTGCAGACATCGGCAGTTGATCCGCCTGCTTTAAAGTGCAGGCAAGGGCTAGAGCCAGCCAAGTTCTGCTAGTCCCTTAATGACTTATTTCTGCCTCTGACATATGTTGGGAAAGGACAGATAAAATTTTCCCACAAGTCACTGTGAAAGAATGGGAAATAGAACTGTATTGCAATTCACTGCAACATTAAAATAAATAAATAAGCAAATCATCAAAGCGAAGGAGAATGTGCAAAGCCCGTGGGGATCTGCTCAAGCCAGCCAGAGCCCTGGCTGCAGTGGTCCTTCTGTGGGATGCTGAGCTTTGCAGAATTGAGGCTAAAATCCACAGCATCCTTGTGTAGAAAAGTCACGTGGATTTGGAACTGCATCCATGGCTGTACTCGTTTCAGAGCAAGCATTGCCTGCCCGAGTTGCAGAAGATAAAAACTCTCTTTCCAGCAAACTCTCTCAAATCGAGATTATTTGAAAAGACAAGTTACATTGTATTTCAGCCACAGAAGTGCTTGAGAAAAAAGTTTATATCTTTCTGAAACCAATGCCACCAGTATAAATTAGAACAATGCTTAGAACAATGAGATATAGTCCCTAACTGGGTATCATAAAAATATCTAAAATGAGAGTGACAGTAAAAAAAGCATAAAAACAAGTACCTTCCAGCTTTAAGAACATCTTTACTTAACTGGACTTGTAATTATCTTCTATTGTCTTTTTCTATATTTTCGTCCTTACACACAATACAGGCTGTTAAATCACGGCTGCAATATTTTGGTTACTACAACAGGAACAGAAATAAGATAAAAAACTATACTTCAAAATATTCAGATGCTTGTATCTAAGTTTCTTTTAACAAATTGAAAAATGGATTCCTAAGGGAGACTTCTAACATTGAAAATTTCATCTGAAATTGAAAAGGCCACAAATTGCAGAGAGGGTGCTGGCAGACTTACAGTGAAGTGCAGTTGGATACTTCATTTCTACTCCTTGTCTTGGAAAGTGGTACATGGATTATAAATTTTACACATGCCAAAAGCTTCCTAAGTTATTTGTGACTTGTGTAAAATCCTAAAATAGGTGATGTCTCCATTCTACTGCAGAACTGACAGTGTTTTGAAATATGCCTCCTCCTGGGAGCTTAGCTTTCCTTCAGGCAAAATCCACAGCTGAAACAGCGTTTTTGAAAGGACAGTGTATGGTCAGCAAAGTCATCTTGTCATTTGACTACTGGAGGAACACCGCATTACTAGCCGGTGTAGGTAGTCCCCTGCAGTACCTCCCTCTAACCTGGTGTGGCCTTTGCCCGTAAAATCCTTCACCCGCAATCTTTCAAGACTCCTACCTTTGAAATTTACGTGGGACTCCATGAGGTCTTTGTCTCAATGCAGGCTGGATAAAGGTGGGATTAACACAATTAATACAACTTCAGGTTTTCATTTTTCAGAAAGCAACTCAGAGTGCTCCTTTAAGCTCCAACAGTGGTTGTGCCTTTTTCTGCCCCCAAAACTGTCTGTTTTATCATGAAAATATAGGTGGTTGGTCAGGAGGCTGTGGTCCACTTATTTTCAAAACTATACAGAGTACCCTCATGAGACACGAAGCCACGAGTATCTCAGAAAAGCAGCCAAGGTCTGAGCAGTGCAATTCTGAGAACAGAGTTTTCAGGCACTTTTGTTCATTCTAACAGTGTCACAGAAATTTACAATTTATTAATCTTTTATATTTGGATCTTTCAAGGCCAGTGATGGAATGAAACTGAATTAAAAAATATCAGTTTTTAAAAAGGCTTAGGTCACCTTTCTGACCTTTTATTTATGAATAAATCAGGCTTTCACTTCTTTGAGGAACAGCACAGGGAATTATTAGCTAAAGGTTTGTCTCATTCTTTGGAAACAATTCGATACATGTTGTATTACATCGCTTAGGGTTTAAGCTGGAACAGAGACGGAAATGATATAAATATAAATTTTCTGCAGGGTTGCAATGTATCCCAAACTTTTATTAAGTGTGCATTTGATAAAGACAGTCCAAGATAAACTAATTAAAGGAAAAAGTGAGTCATCAGGGCACTTCAACTCTGTTGACAGAAGAGGGTCCCCTTCCACTCCCCATTGGGGAAGATATCTGAGCAGAACCGAACTCCAAAAGTAGAGCTGTGTGATAAACTAGGAAGAATGAGATGCCTCCCAGTGCAACACGAGTGGGTTCAAATGCCTGTTCAGAACAGAAATGGATGGCAGTCTCCAGTATCAGGAATAAAGCTGTTTTGTACAGAAATGGCTGTGCTGACACAGGAGGTGAGCAGACCTCACAGTACAGTCAGATACATGTCAGACAATACAACTGTAGTGCTAAAAGGAGTACCTGTGCAATTTGGAAAAACACTTCAGAGAACAGAAGTTCTCTGTAACTGCTCCTGGGGGTGAGAGAAGAAACATCACCTGGGTGTCCAACACAAGGATCAGAGCCTTGATGGCCACAGGCTTTCATGTGCCAGCTCACTTGAGAGATGCACAAGGAAAAAACGGGAAAAAACCCATCAATCGGTGAATTACCTTTACATGAAAAGTCAGTGCTGAGTGTCTGACATGGAGGTGCCTCCTCATTCGTTGTCACTTTCAAGTCAATGTTAGCTTAAGATCTGGCTTGAAAGAACCCACAGTGCTCTATAGAAATTGAAACATTTCTTTTAAAGACATAACAAAAAGTGAGACTGATGAAGTAAAGGATTGAAAATCAAACATAAATCTGTCTGAGGTGTAATCATTGCTAAATTTAGTGAAATGAAGAGTAGAGAAATAAGGTACTTGAGGGAAAGTAAACTAGATTTTTTTAAAACCTTTCTCACTTTTATTTCTTCTTATTTATTGCTTCAGCTAACTGTCTGAAGATATTTTCTCAGCTGTGAACAATTCATAAAAAGAGAACAAAATCTGAAAAGCACATTC